AGGGGTGGCCCTTGTGCTGAAGGACTGGTGTCAGTGTGTGTGAGAGCATTAAGCTGTGCTGGGAGGAACACAGCACTGCACACTTCTCCAGGTTCTCTGCATGCTCCAAACAGCATCCAAATGACATTTTTCAGATTTTTATTTTTCTAAACTTGGTGGAAAAGGCAAATCTCCTATTCTACACTATCATGGTACTTTAATGCTGAGGAGGATTACATTGTACTCTGACTTACCCAGGTTTGGCAGGATGAAGGTCTGGCTTCTGCCTCTAGTATTTAATGTCGTACCTCATGCACCTTTGAGAAAAAATTATAGGATCAGTCATCATGGGACTGGCCTTATAGATATTACAATGCTAGCTTGAAAATTCATATTCCCCAAGAGGCCCATTCCATAATAGTGGACTTAAGAACTAATGAGGTCTGAAAATGATATTCAGAGAGTGTACCGTCTTCTACATCAGCTTGTAATAAAATCACATGATTTTTTAAAGTAGTTGTAAAGTGACTCTCTTCCACCTCCTCCACATTACTCTAATATCTCTTGGGAAATACAGAGTCAGCACTGCACTGCTGCTTCTCCCCAGAGCCAGTGATGCAGATGGCCTGGTTTGCCACCTCTGAGGCCAACAGTAAAATATCTTGCATGTCTGTGGGGGCAGGATCTTTAAAAGGTTGATATAGGAAAGCAAAACTGAAAATTTGTCCCTAAAGCTTTGATTTGGCAGTGAGACTCCCCATCACTTTCCTTGGATCATAGCTCTGACTCCACCCCAAGTTCACTGCTGTCCCTGTTAATTTACCTCTGGCTGTTTAAAGAGGATGCACTGATACAGATCATTACTGCATTACAGTCCAGATGAGAGGCAAATCACTGACCTCTGCATGAAAACAAATCCCTTAGGTGATAGAGCTGTTTTGTAGCAGTGGCTATCTTGGAGAACTCTGATGGCATGTGCATTGCCCTGAGTGAAAGGCAGCTCCTCCTCTTCTGAGTGCTGCAGATCTCAGCAGGCACAAATGAGGATGTCTTGGACAGACCCCCTCCCTGTTTACACCAGCTGCATGTGAAGAGATTAAGTTAAGGGCTATTTCTTGAGCAGGATGCAAAGGGCTGCCTCACATCCTAACATGCAGGAGAAGAGAGAGCAGCAATATATTTAGCTTGCAACAGTATGGATTTCCTCACGTGCTGTACTCACTTGTTATTGAACTCACCTTCTCTCCTGGGGAGGAGCAGCCCCTCCTGGGTTTGGTCTAACTGGTAGCTAAGCTAGCATAAACCAAAGTGATCACATCTGACAGCGCCTTAGTAATAAGACCCTGGTGGCACAAAGGCAAAAGCAACTGAATCTACTCAACTTTGAATTTGCCCAGGTCAGAAAGTTTTTTGAGTCTGTCAGGCATCATTTGTGCATCTTTTATGTGCTTCGTTTCTCTTACTGGTGACCAGGACAGGTAAGATGTGGTGCATGTGCAGAGCAGACCACTGGGACCCATCTGTCCCTCTGGTTTGATGGTTCCTGGGAGCTCTGGTCAGGCAGCAGGCAATGAAACAAGTTCTAGTTTGTGCTATATGACAGTTGCACCAAGCAAAACCCTGGCATAGGCTGGTAAATTATATTTCAAGGTGACCAAAATATAACTTTTGGGTGCCCCAAGGGTCTATGTCACTATTAGTTTTAATGAATGGTCTGAAAGGGGATGATAGGCAGCAAATGTGATGGTGGCATAAAATGATTAAGAGCAATGAAAGCTGGAGAAGAAATGACAAAAGAGGGACCTAATAAAGCTGGATAAATGGGCAATGCAGGAGCAAATGAAATGCAGCGTTGCAAGAAAATTTATGCCAGAAAGAATGATGTTAACTCTTTTTATGCATTTGTGAGTTCTGCATTTTGCTCTGAAGAGATCTTTGCTCTTGACAGACAGCTTAAAGAGAACTGGTACTCAGAGCCTAGATGTGACAACCAAAGCAGCGTAAGAGATGGCAGGTCATGCAATCTACCTAGACAAGACAGAGATGGGTGGTAGGAAGGGAAAAGGAAAACTTCAGAGACTGTAGTGTTTGCCCATGGTCACTCATAAAACCAAATGTAGAGCAGAGGGCTTGAGAATGTCACGCCTAGGGCCAGACTCTGAACCTCATGGATGAACCCCCAGAGGCTGGGACATTAACTGAGAGAGAAGCACCTCCAGAGGGCCATAGCATCATACAGATGGCCAAGACAGAGGGAGTGAATCACTCTTTGTCTAGCCTGTTAGTTAGAGAGAGAGTTTAGATGGGTTGCTTAGGCCATATGCTCAATTTTTAAGTGGTTAGAATTAGTAAAATGACTTACACCCTCTGTTGTTTTTCCCTCTGAACCATTTATTTTCAGCCACAGCTGAGGTCAGGGGATTGTTTCTGCAATGTAAGTCTTTTTTTTTCCTGAGAACTGGTAGCTGTGGGAAAAAAAAAAAGTCATCGGAGAAACCGAATTAAATAAATAGCAATAAAAGCTCTATGCACTCAAACTAGCCTTGGAGCACAGGGGGACTGGGGATACTGGTGAGGGCATGTGATGTGGGATCTTGTCCTGGCCCTCTGACTTGTCTGCCCTTCCACCAGGGCAGGGCGTAGAGTCTGGGTCCCACGCAGGGCTGGGGCTGTCACTTGGAGGTGTCTGCTGGTGTGGTGAAGCCCAGCCTCTCCACCATGGCAGGCTGAAGTCCCAGACTGTAAACCACTAGCAGATTTTGTGTAGTGCTGCAAATGTTCATGCACTCTGGAAGGCCTGGCCTTGAGGAGCCCCAGGGCAGGAGACTGAGGACCTGCATGATCAGCATGTTTGTTTGACTGCCAGCTTGTGGCACCATACATTTCCCTTGGGCTTAGAGTCTTCTCCCCTCTTCTACTTTGGGCCAGACCTACTGTGTCCTGATGTGTCCATAAACTGATCCTTTTTATCAGTAGAAACAGAGTGTTCTTCAGTTTTGCTTGTGGGAGGGTGATAGATACAAGTGTTGGTTGTTTGCATAGAGCTTTCACAGACTGCAAAAACACTGTCACCTGTTCCATCAAATGGGAAAAAAAAAAAAAGCCAGGCTGTCAAGTGCCTACTAAACACCAGCTGGTAAGTGTCACAGCATCAAGCTGTCCAACTGCTGACTGGGCTCACAAGCTGAGGCAAGTCTGAGGATAATCAGATAGACTAACCGGTGACATGCAGCTTAGGGTGGTGGGTTCAGAGCCCGCTCTCCCTGCAGGCACCCCTGGGGTGTGAGTGCACACACCTAACACGGGTGCTGTTGGTCCTTCCCCACCGGGTGATACACAACCTCAGAAGGTGGGCTCAGCTGCTCCATAGCCTGTCTTGCAGAGGCCACTGCTGGGGGCTTCTGTGGAGTGAAACCAGACCTTGGAGCAGCTTGTCCTGGGGAAACCCTCAGAAAATGCAGCAGGTATCTTCGAGTTGAAGGCAATATGATGCTGGACTGCATTTCTACACTCCTTCCTCACCCCCTGCCTATAATGGGAGAAGTAAACCTTTGTGGTGGTATCGGGATATGGAGAACTTTTTGTTAGTGTAAACTGTGACTAAAAAGAGAGACAGTAATGGTGTGAAAATACTGAACTGGAGCTCTACAAAGAGACAACGTCATCTATGTGCGTTGCAGGCTTGTGGGGCAGCAAAGGATACTTGCTTTGTACTTCCCAGGGAAGACTTTCAGAACTGAATGTGTTGATGCAGTGGAGGTTACCTAGAAAGGTTACAGAGTCTTAACAGTTGGGAGTTTTAAGAATAAACAGGTATCTGCTTAAAATATATAAAACTGATGATTAATTCAGACAGGGAAGTGGTGGAATAGGTGTCCTCTCTATGTTGTGTCAGGAAGTGAGGAAGCTCTTACAAGTCTCAACACCAGTTTTTGTGCTGTACACCACTTCCTTGATCGTGGTGTTTGCAGTTCTTTGTCTAGTGTTGTAAAATCAATATGAAACGTGAGGGCAAGTGCTACAGGATGGGTAGAAGAATTATTATCACATAATTTTCAGTGCTCTTTCTGCAATGATATATGCTGGTTCAGGTGATAAGCAGAACCCATGGCTTATTATGTTTGTGAAGGCACAGATTTTCATTGTGTCAGTTGAGCAAACGTTTGAGAAGTCACTAAACCTTTTTTCCTTACTGGCTGCCTGGCTCTCTAGGGCTGCACGACTTTGTACGGGTCTGTGGAAACAAGACTCCTGACTTAAATTGGTACAGGCTAAGATTAGGCAAAGTAGAGGCAGCAGTGTTTTGTGTACCTCTGCAACAGAAACTGAGCACAGTACGCACATGGTAAAGGTAGGGTAAGTGGGTGGTTATCTCTGCACGTCTGTTTTCTGGGCAATTTGAGATGGAGAGAGTCCTTAGCTAGAAAGAAACCTGCAAATGTCATTGCAGACTGTTTTGCTTTCAGAAGCCCTTCACCACGTTCCATGAAACTTGTGTTAGGGTAATTTCTCTGGCACTTCCTATTTACACATGTAAACAAGATAAGATCGAGGCTTAAAACTTTGATTGCAGGGTAAGAATGACCATAAATGGAGATGTCATGTTACAGTCTGTCATGTCTCTGAAAGCATGAGAATCCATCAGGGCTGTGTAACTGGTTTCTCAGTGCCCCAGCCATAACATTTCAAAAAAATCAGCCAAGACTTTCTTTTGACTTCAGCATGGTTGGAATATAAAAGTAATCAGTCTGGTGGGCTGCACTTGGGCCGATTCACTGCTAAGGACACTGTCCAAGTGAACATAATAAAAGATAAAAGAAGCAGACAATCTGCTCGAACCTGCAAACTGAAGGCTTGTCTCCTTGACATGATGCTGATGAACAGTTTTTTCTTGATGCTCAAGGCATGTAAAGCCACAGATAAACACTAACTGCTGTTTGCAAAGTAGTCAATAAATTCCCATCAGACTTTCCCTTCTGTTTAAGTTTTATTAAAAGAGGTGCTAAGGTACTGTACTGTATGCAGTACATCATATTTATTACCAAAATTAACAAATATACAAAACTTATACATGTAATTTTCTTACATCCATTTATTGGTCTATAATACTGCATTTGTTCAAGTAGGTTATCTACAGTATGTAAACATCCCTTGGATTGACCTCACACAGATTAGGAAAGCCCATCTAACCCATGTAGTTACCAAATATAGCATTTTCTTTTTATTTAAATTTATTTGGCTTTCATTGGTAGAATCTAATCTTCACATTTGGCACATGGAAGAGACATCTACAGTGCAAAAGAGGCAGATTTTCTGGTTTTGTTCTGAGCAGTTTAGGGGAGTCGTGGTTTTAAAGAGCTGAGAATAAATTTACACAAACTTGATAGGAGATGGATTAGTGTTAACGCTCATAGATCAGCCATTAAACTAGAGCAGATTCAAAGCCTCTTTCCCAGCCTGCTCGGCCAGGTGGAAAAAAACCCTCAGTCTTGTTTCTAAAGGATTAAAAAAGGACTCTGTTAGCAACAGAGAGAGGAGGTTTAGTTTACAAAGAGCCCTCTAAGATTCCAGTTTCAATTTTCTGCTTTGTGGTATTTTTTTTTTTTTCCTCTTGTTAGCGAGCAATTTTTTTTTCCTTTTTAATGGGGGGAAAAATAACCGGTGGGGAACCACTTTTCTGTGCTGGTAATTTCTCAGCAAGTCAGAGATTACAGTTGCAGTTTACAGATTTTTGAACCCAGACCTATAGAGCTCAGTAAGCTGCCATGTACAAGTAAGAGAGAGAAAGAGGGAGGAAGAGATAAAGAGAGTAATGTCATTATATTCCAGTTGTGGAGCTTTCCAATTTTGCTGTAAAAACCAGGAAAAAACTTTCTTCCTTCTGCTTCTCACTGTTTCAAAAATGTGACTGAATTTAACTGAGTAAAGCTGATCCAGAGAGACCTTAATTCGTACCCTTGCCATTCTCATCCAAGCACCGTATTGCTATTTTTTAGGAGGCCTCACCCATGTCCATGGAAGCATCTGATGAGTACAGACGTAACAGGACACTGTTTTGCATGGAAACCCCTCTGCCATTCCTGGACCGTTACCACAGAGCCCCGCTGCTGTCCGTGGCACCGTACATCTCGGCCAGCTTTTTGAAGCGCGGCCCCCAGTCTGTCAGGTAGTCGTAGCTCTGGTCTGAGTCTGTCGTCACCGACTGTAGGGAGCTGAGTGACTCTGCCACCGAGCCGTTCCCTTCAAACATGTACGTCTGGAGGGAGTCAAAGGGAGGTGCCCACAGGTCCATGTCAGCCTCGTACAGCTTGGCAAGCACGTAGTTGTGGACGTTGTTGTCCATGACGCATGCCTGAGGCACGTATCGGGAGAGGCTCTCTATTTCAGGGAGCATGTCCTGACGGTTTTTCACCACCAGCTGGGCCTCCCGTGGGTTCCACATGGCGGCGATATCGAAGGCCTCCGTGTCCTCCTCCCCGCCGCCCTCATCGTCGTACCTGACAATGTTCTCGTGTATGTTCTCCTCCTCGTCGATGATGTACGGCTGCTTCCGCTGGCGCCGCATGGAGAGGATAAGGAGCACCAGCACTGTGGGAGGCAACCAAGACATGGGGCTGTCAGTGAGGGGACAGATCTTGAAAAGGCTTTAAACTCTCTACTGCCCTGTGTTTCCCTCAATGAGCCCAGCTAGCCCCTTGGATTTAAAGAGCTGTCATGTTTGCGGGTGGAGGGGTGCAGAAATACCGTGTCGTATCCTGTCCCGTCCCCCCACCCCACCCTGTCAAAATTAGTAGCTTGAGGTCCTACTAATCTGTTCCTTTTCTCACCTTAATTCTTAACTCTTGGTGACGCTTAAGACATGTCTATCCAGCGGTGCCTGACAATGCTCTGTAGCGATACTTGAGCTACTTTTAATCTAGCCTGATCAGGTATTGGCAGTGGTTTCTCTGCAGGGACACGCAGCTCCATAGAGATAGTTTTCTCCTGCTGTGCAGCTGGGTTTTGCAGCCTGCTTTGGGGACACCCCTTGGGCTGGATGCTGCATGTCACATAGATGGATGGTGCTGAGGCACCATGGTTTTATGTCTGCCTACATGGCAAAATGCAGAGCTAGCTCCTCAGCCTGCTCCAAAGCACTTTTTTGTTTATCTGTAAGGCACTGCCCTGGGCTGGGTAGACCTACTGTCAGTTGCTTGGTGCTAATGAGATGCAGATGCTTCTTAGCATGGGGAGAAGTGGTCATACAAGCACAAGAGGTCTTTACTATACAACTGAAAATAGGCTGTCACCTGATAACTGTATTTCCAGGGCTGGAATTTTAGACTGAAGTATCTAGGGTCCTTTGCAGAGCCAGAACTGAGGCATTTTTAAAGAATTTTTCATGTATCCTACTCCACTGCTTCTCCAACTGGATCCTCTGAAATTTCAGGGAATGTGTGTTTTGAACTAGTATCTCATGACTCAAGACACTGAATGAGGGAACTGAAATTCTTTGGATACCAACAGCTAACAGGGGACATAGAAGGCCCGGGCAGGCAAGGAAACAGAACACATGCAAGATGCTCAGCCCCTTTATAGCAGAACCAAAAAGTTTGTCCTCCTCTCCCAAGAAGAAGCCAAGGCTTTACCTAGCAGGACAAAGATGCAGGCAAGGATTGCAATGAGAGCCCCTCTGCTTAGGCTGACTGGGAGGACGTAGGCCTCTGCATTGCAGGACATCACCATGCCGTCATCATCGCAGCTGCACACGTGCACGGTCAGCGTGCCTGTGCTGCTCAGCACGGGACGGCCGTTGTCGCTGATCAGGATGGGAAGGTAAAAGGTGTTCTGCTCATGTTGTCTGAAGCCAGAGCGCCTTGTCAAAATCCACGCTGTATTGTCTAGGGGTAGAAAATAAATGGAGATGAGAGATAATTTGCAGAGCAAATATATTCAGCAGAGAAGCAAGGTTTAAAAAATCAGCCCTAGACCCACATCCATTTATCTTCTCTCTTTATTTCTTTGTTTTTTTATCAGTTTGTCACTAATCAGCATTTGCCTCTGCCTCCCCTATTCCAGTATCTTCTCAAGCCATAGCTCCAAACCCTCAAGGCATACATACCTTATGAGTTGCCTTTACCCCTTCTGACACAAAGCGCCCAGAGCAAACTCACAGCCTTCAGGTTTAGCTAAAAGAGCTTTAAGAAGGCAAGACAGAAATGAACAGTTGAAGGCAGCTTGTTGTCCCTGTTTGTTGATGCTCAGCAGCTTTTCTAGACCTCACTCTTAAGAGCTGCCATCATTTTGGAGACACGAGTGCCTAAGCCTTGTGGACAAGTTAAGGTTCTCTTTATGTTTTTTGATACATGGCATGGCCATCTGCTTGAGGCAACAAGAAGACAAAGGAAAAAACTGGCTTGCTATCCTAAAGCAGCAGCGAGTTGAAAGTTTGCAACTAAACATTTTTCAGTGAAATACGTGCAATTCCACTGGCACTTTTACCATCGAAAAAAGTCGGAGTGCTTCATGTCATCATTGTCAGAATTACTCTGCTTTGATGTCACCTTTCTGCTTCATTTAGTGTGACCGCTTGTTTTTTATTGGAACTTGTATCAAAATGAATCAAAATGATGCTGTTGAAACAAAATAGTAAGACAGTGACCTAACAGCCAGATGTTGCTGGTCATTTCAGGAGAAATTCCTGCCTTTGGGGCTTTTTCCTCCATATTCAGCTTGTTTTTTAAAATGTCAGAATTTCCCAGTGGCATTTGGATTCCTGTCTCCTTACTCCCTCAGATTCCTCAGACTGTGCACCAAATTTCCAAATCAGAAAGAAACTGGATTAAGGAATTAGTTCTTCTAAATTCTCATCTCAGAAATGCCAAGGCAAAATTTTTAGAGATCAGTGATGATTTTGCCAGTGCTGACTTTCAAGCTTTTTGACCTCAGAGACTTTTGGAAAGTGCAAGGCTGAATGTCTCCAATGCAATCTAGGCCACAGGTAGTCTAAAGGAACCTGCAGGAAAATTGTCCCTTCTTACAAACATGTCTGCAAATCTTGGGCCAGGTGAGATAAATGGGGAACACAGGAACTTGTTCTATTTGTCAGACCTACAAACTCTGACCCTGTGGAGTGACGCTGTGGGATTTTGGGGAGCTTAGCTTCATGCAGTTTCTTTTATTACTCTTCACACCCCCCCCCCCTCGCATTCCCTTGGTTCAAAAGAGGTCACAGTGTGGCCATCTGCATCTCCAGGTTGTTACCAATGTACATTTGCTATGCTTGGAAGTGCAGGATGCCAATCAGCTGTTCCCAGGTGGACTGGCACAATGGAGCTGCTGCCTGGAAATGGCAAGAAACCTTCTGATCATAAGTAGACTGTGAAAAACCCCAAAATATCAACAAAGGATTGTTCCATTTCTTTATTATTTCCTTGTCAATTCATTGCTAAAATTGAAATCTAGGGTGATTTTCTTCAGTGCAGAGACTTAGGCTGCATACAGGTAAATCTGCTGTAGTCTGAACATCAGAAATTATTTGATGGCTTTTAGGAGTGAAATCAAGAGTGCTTTATACAACCAGGTATGGAATATATGCAAACTCAAGCTAGACTCTCTAGACTTGCCGGCTAGACTTAAATTATGCTCCAAGTTCCATACTTTGTGCTGTAAATCTTACGGCATCAGACAGTACTGTCACTATAAATGTTGAGATGTCAGGCTCCACAGTTCATGAGATTAGTTTGAATTTGTGATGTGTTTTTAAAAGGAATCTCAGGATCTTTTATTTCTTGCATGTCAATGACATCTCAAGCTTTTACTTTGAAAGCATAAAATTCTGAAGTGTATGTGCATGTCTGTGTGTGCATATATAGTGAAATTGTAGTGTCTTGTGAAATCATGTGATCCCAAGAGCTGGAGCTTTGAGGAAAAACCACCAGGTGCAAGATGAAATCCCCAAAGTTGGTTTAAACTGATTATGTGTCAGTATTTACTGATTTTACCACCTTTTGATATGCCACTCAGCTCCAAGTGTGTGCAGTCAGTGTGGACAGACACAGATAATTTTCAGGAATATATCTCAAAACCCACCAGAGAGCAGCACTCTGCAGCTCCCTTGGCTCCTGGGCGAATGGTATGCTGAGGGCAGGAGCCCTCACCTCCTGCAAACCTCTTCCTCCTCTCTCCTGGGACACAGGCAAGTGCTTTCTCTCCCTCAGGCTGTTTATGTGCCCTCTAGTATGTGCTACTCAGATATTAATACCACACGTTTTCATCACTGGGCCTGTTTTAGCATGAGAAAAAGCAGCCCAAAGGGCAGCAAATGGGAAAGTGTCTGCATTTATGATGTGTCAATAGAAGTGTCTGAGTCATCCTTACAGTGTAGTAATTTGGTTGCATTTCTCTTTCCTGGTTGAAAGATGCACTGACTGACAATAGACGTCACAAATTCTATTCGGGTGACAGCAAACCTTCATTTTATGTAAAATTGCTCTTTGTGAGGGAAAAAGACTTTATTATTCTGAGCTGGTTACTTTGCCTGTAAAATAAGTTACAGGCAGTGAACCTGTGAGAAAATCAGCTAGTGAGAGAGCTCAGGTGTTTTTAACCATTATTCTCTTTTCAGGCCAAAACCAAGTTTCTATAATCAAATAGATTTGAGATTTATTTTTTTATTTATTTGTGTATTTTGCTGTGATGTTCTGACCATATCACCCAGGTCTTAAAAGTTCTTGGTGATAAAATTCTCTTGGTGACTCTTGGCATTACATTTTGGCCCTTTTGTTTTGTTTTCCTTTGTATGAGGCAGGCATCCAAATAATCCCTAAGGAATCACTCTACCTGTTACTCTGCAACTGCAATATGTTGGTGCCAAAGCTTGTTGTATGACTCCTTAAAAACCGACGTGATTGGATGTGCTACGGCAGTGTGAAGGACATGCTGGAATGTGATGCAGCATGGCAGAAACTGGAATACACAATTTTCTTCCAGATTTGATATCTGTTAAGCCCCAGCCATCAAGAGAAGAGGGCTTGTGAGGATATGAAAGCCCCGTTATATTTAAAAAAATAATAATAAAAAAAAAGGCGAGCACGGTAAGAATGAATAATATTTTTGCATCACAGCTTCCAACACAGTGTCATTGGCTTGCAGGGGGCTGGGTGGTAGCACTTAGCTACAGCGCTAAGCTGAGATGCTGAAGACTGCAGCATGGTGGGTCCTGTGCCTGTGTGGTCAGCAGGAGGTTAGAGCTGTACTTCCTGTGAGCATGCAGGCTGGTGGCTTCATGTGGATGTGAGAGCAAGCCATGGAGCATCTCCTTCCTGCAGTTTTATGTGCCACTGGAAGCGAGATACCTCCCTGGAGAGGTCAGTGGAATTAACCTCTGTGTAGGTCCAAACTTTTAGATCAGAGCTAACCACTGCTCTTCTCACAAGAGAGTCTTGGTTTCTTTCTCTATGCATCTGTACAAGAACTGGGGATGGTTAGCCCAGAACTTTTTAGCTTTTAAAACCTAATTGTAATAATTATGAATAGTTAGCAATAATATAAAGGAATATTTTACCAGGGGTGGGAGAAAGAGCACAAGGAAGCAGGCATTACAGACACCACTGGCTTGAGGAAGGGGACAATTTTTTTCTTGGGGGTTTTCAGTTCACTGCTTTTGCACTCTACCAAAGTGTGAAGTAGACCACATTTTTGGTGAAGGAAGAAATAGCTAAAAATTTTCCTAGGACAAATTTAAATGCGATATGGAGGGCTGCTAGAGGCTTCCAGTGACAGGCCTGGTAGCAGTATGACACTGATGCCTGCAGCCATTTAAATGGTGTCCTGGTTTTTAGCTGGGACAGAGCCGGCATTCTTTTTAGTAGCTAGAACAGCGCTGTGTTTTGCTTTTCAGCCTGGGACTTGTTATGAGAGGGACACTGATAACATCCCAGTGTTGGCATTTTTGTCACTGGAAGTGAAGGACTTCGTGATCTTCCACTTCTACAAGTGCAAGATCTAAGGGGTTGATTTAAGTTAATAAGCTAAATTGGCATTTGGATATGCCAATAGGGTATTCCATATCATATCACATCATGGTCAGTATATTAATGAGGGTCTCTCCCTCTTTTGCTCTCCCTGGCTTTCGCTCGGGCTCTCACTTTTCCAGGATTGTGGTTTCAGTTCGGGATTGTCGCTCCTCCGGGATCGTTATGTGGGAACAGGCTGGGCTTGGTCAGCAGGTGGTGAGTGATTGCACTGGGTATCACTCATTTGCATATTCTGTTACTGTTATCATTGCCACTACTGTTTTAATATCAGTATTATTTTAAGTTTTCTATTATTTAAATTATTAAATTGTTCTTATCTCAACCTATGAGTCTCCTTACCCTTGCCCCCAATCCTCTCCCCTGTCCCCTGGGGATGGGGGGGAAAACGGATGAACAGCTGTGTTGGCTGCTAGCCAAGGGCTACCCCAGTGAAACTATCACAAATAGCTACTGCCTTCATCAGTTCCTGGTACCCAAAGATGGAGGGCTGCAGTTAAGGGCCAACAGAAGATCAGCTCAGAGTTTAATCTGGAAATTCAGTACGCTTATTTTGTTGTTCATCCCATTCTTACAGCAAGCCTCTTTTGCCAACTTTTTCCCAGCATAATCTCACCTGGATTTTAAAGCAGGAGAAGGTGCCTTGCCATTGCCATACATCAGTAACCAAAGAGATGGGAGACCCTACCTGAATTCCCTGCTTTATCACATATATGGCCTTGGGAACTCATTTAGGCCTAGATCTTTGCAGACACTTACATGTCTATCTCCCACTGATTTTACTGAACTCAATAGGAACTGGGAATGTAAGTAGCTTAATTTCTCCTTGCCCTGGATCCCTGTCTACAAAGTGAAGAACAATAGGATTTCTCTGTCTGACAGAGATATGTGGAGAATGAATAGGCTGAAGAAGTTCTCGGAGAGTAAAATGACAAGGGCCAAATAAATATGTAAAACAGCTTATCAGAATGCAAACTGTGATCTGTTTCTCAGTATAAATCAAAGTTTTAATTGTTGCCAGGAAGGCTGTGTGTCTTGCAGTTTCTCTTACACAGTTGTCTTTTATTGGACAACCAAGTAATCAGCACAACTGCTGATCTTAATAGTGCCTTTCCACAGCCTGGGAAGTGTTGCTGTCTCGTGCTTACGTGCACAGGCTGTACCTAGCAAGGTGAGTTCTGTTTCTTGTCTTGTGACATACAGTATATCTACCCCCTCTGTCACTAAGTCATATAATTTATATAGTCCTTTGTGGTCCCTAGATGAAAATATAAATATAAATTATTGTTACTGAAATGACCACCGCACTCCAAAATGCTGAGGCAGTAAATTAATCCTTAATGTGTATATTTCAAATAATCAGTAGTTTGATACTCAACATTTTTATTTCAAATTTGTAACCAACAATACCCTAAGCTTCTTATTTTATATATCTATATCTATCTCTATCTCAAAACCTGGTATTTGACAGAGAGCGGGAGGCACAGACATTCAGTCACTGCTGTCACTATAAATTATTGCAAGTATGCCTTAGACAGAAAAGTGCATCTGATGCTGGGAATTTTGTGAGTTTCTTTTTTTAGAACAATGCCGTGGGGATGAAATGAGCCTAGTTTGCCAAATGTTTTAGCAATAGTTGTGTTTTATTTGTTCACTTATTTTGGCAATATATATTAAAAAATAAAAAAAGGGGGAGAAAATGAGAGAGGCAGAGGGATAAAAATGTAAGAAATTGTGTGTGGAAGCTTCAGGGACACTATAGAAAAAATTGCTTTTGGGATAAAAAAGCAATAGCACGCTGTGGAGGAGGGCTGCAGACTCTGCAAGTAGCATTTTTAAAGATGTTTGGTTAGTGAAGTCAGGGGCTTCTTTATTAGCCTATATGTTGCTCTTTCAGATGCCTGCAGAGGCGCAGATCAGGGTTTATGGAAATAAGCGTAACGTGGCATGTGTGGGAGCAGAGGTAGGCACTCTGCTTGGAGACTGGCCACAGATGCTGCAGGTACCTTTCTCCCCATTTATTCTGAAATTCCTTGTGGTACTTTACACACTAAGCTTCTTGGTGAAACACTGGCACAGGTTGCCCAGAGAGGTGGTAGAAGCCCCATCTCTGGAAACGTTCAGGGTCAGGCTGGATGGGGCTCTGAGCAACCTGACCTAGTTGAAGATGTCCCTGCTCACTGCAGGGGGGTTGGAGTAGATGGCCTTTAAAGGTGCCTTCCAACCCAAACCATTCTCTGATTCTAAACTCCTACTGAAATCCAGCCCCCTCATATTAACTCTCAAAGCTCTGCACCAGGTCACTCAAGGTTGTCTGTCTTTCCCAATGAAGAATGGTGTGGACCTGACCTTGGCACCATTGTCTGCCCATGGAGATCCTCCATCAGCAGTAGTCATGTGAAGCCCTGCCACAGCATGGCTTTTCTGCAGGCTCTAAAACTACCAAAGCTTCCCCAAAAGAAGCAAATTCCACTGGTTAGGATACTAAAATGCATGTTTTGCCAGGCATCTTCCCACTGGTGTTTCAGTTTCTAATTAGCACATCTTACACAGACTTTTAGCTGTATGCCAAGTTACCCCCCTCAGGCTCTGCATCTCCTCCCTACCTCCCTCCCTTTCCTAGGGAAATGAGGCTGTGCAAAGAGGAAGAAAAAAGAGCTTGGGGGAGAAGACTGGAACAGTACAGGAACCTTCCCTTTCTGTGCCTGGGAGAAAACATGAAGATTACAAAAAAAGAGCAATGTAATTCCCTTCAGATTTTGTCTCCTAGTTCCAGTTGCTATCCTACCTTTAAGCATCTCCTTTTGAGTGAATGTAATTTCCACTCCAGTAATCCGAGATGCCTGCAGCCTGACCACAAGACCTGAATTTGCACAAAACACTGGCAAATTTCCCCAAAGAAGAAAAAGGGGCTTATTGCTAGAGAATATTTATAGAGAAGAAAATATCATATAACCTTCAAGTGTATTAAGTAATATGTCATTTTATCACTGCCTTTAAGGAGCAGGTGTCACTTGGTATTATTTGAAATGGCAGTTTTGTCACGCACTGTAAGTCACAGCCTCTCAAGTCCAACTCAGGCATTAGGAATTAGAGTAGCTAACTGTCTGTGTCCACTCTGATTACCTTGATTGTCCCTTAGAGTAAAGTTGGGGTTGTTGGCTGCCTCCGGAGCCAGGCTGTAGTAGAAGTGCTGACCCTCCTGTGGGTCATCCCTGTCAATGGCACTCACTGTCTGGATCAGCTACAGAATACAAGAACAAAGCAGAAACAGGTGAGAAGCAAAATAACTATAATACAAATAAATAAACAGATAACATATATTTATGTATATAAATACAAGCAACTGGAGAATTTGAATAAAACTATCTTGCTGAGGTACAACAGCTGAATCAAGAAGAGACTAAAAACCTTGCAGTCTTCATTTATTTTGCTGTGATCATAGATATCATTTTAAACAAAGGAGGATATAATAATTTTGGTTCAAATAACAGTCACTTTTCTCCCATGCATCTGTATCTCCTGCTGCATGTTTTGTTTTTTTCTTTTGAGGGCCCAGGGTGTTCAGAAGGTGCATTGTGCATTAGAGAGCTTGCAAGAAAGCCCATACTTATTTTCAGCTTCATTTTGCAAGTAGAAAAGGGCTTCAGGTTGATTATTTTATCACTCTTTAAATTTGAAATCAATTAAACTCTTCCCAATATGTCAGTGGAAAAGAAAGAAAGAAAAGGTAACCATGTAGACACTCTGCATATGCAATAAAAAACACCATGGAAAGCAACTAAGTGCTAAATCCAGAGAGAGATTTGTCACCTCACCTGTAGAGGCTTAGTAAAGTAGGTTTAACAGCTTGAAGCACAGTGAGCTACAGCTCTGAGTAAACATTCTGACATCTTTTTAGACAAGGAATAAATCTTCACCTGGGTTTTTGCATTCAAAAGTTATTTTTGGATTCAAAGGCAAATGACAGGCCCATAAAGTCTTATTCAACATTTTAAAACTGATTTTGTAACTTCTCAAAATGTGGCAGCAGTATTCAGCTTTCTCCACTGAAAGAAGCAGTCTAAATTAGCGTGCATTTCTCAGAAAGCTTATTATTTAAGCCACTCACCCTTTGAAACCAGGAAAAAGACCAGGCAATGATTTCTATTCCCTATATTATTAAGGACCTCCATAAATTAGTGGGATGAAATTATCCTGTATGTGATAGCTGTGAGGACAGTTGTCCCAGCAGTGAATAACTGTTTCACTCTATTTCACAGCAAGCTGGGAGAAGCTTCAGAGAACACCCAGTGATGTTGCTAGCATAATTTTTCCTTCACAAATCATGAGTGGTGCATCTGTGTATTTAAACTATGCTAGTTAGTTGTGCATCAGAATATGCAAGTCCCCATCATGGACCCTGGGTGGCAAAGCACCACATCTCCTCCCCTCAAGCGATCAGCAGTAGAGCTTGTACCAGCTCCAGTGAGGGAGAGCTCATGGCCATCTGTGACACAGGCAGACCTTGTTCAAGGGCTTTGATGGGGTGTTGGAAGGGAGAGGAGCAAAGAGGCATCACTGCGTACTTGGAGGTGCTGTTTTATGGTGTGCAGAGCTGGAAGTCCTGTGTTATCTACAACTCTTTGTCATCTCCAGTTCAAGGCAGAACAGATTCAGTTTGTCACCCCTTTGAAGCTGATGTAGTATGTTATGTCCAGCTCCCGTAACTCCAGGGTTGCTTAAGGCTCTTATAAATAAGGTCTTATAAATAAGGTCTTTTAAAAGTAAGCTTTGTCTGTCACACGTGGGCTGGACTGACTCCACAGCACTTCTCGTAACACTTCTACTCTCTTTGTTGCTGCTACAGGACACACTGGGTGTTCTCCTGCTGGCACCTGCCCAAGGCAAGACTTTATTTCAGCCATGAAGTGTATTGCACAGTGAGACTGAAAACTACTGCCGGAGAAAAAAAGAGATGCTATAGAAGATGCTAATCCCTTTGGAAAGCAGCACAGAGAGCTGCTGACGAGAGTTCAGATGAGACGTGTGGTTAGCTGAGCCCTCTTTCCAACACTTACCCTTTCTGGCACGCTGTCTCCATGTAGGACAGCATCTGCTCCCCAACCCCTGACGTTACCAACATTTCTCACCTGCCCCGCTTTGGCGTTTTCACAGACAAAAGCTTCATAAAACCTTGCAAACTCTGGAGCGTTGTCGTTCACATCCAGGACTTTCACCGTCACGGAGACACTGCCCACCTGTGATGGGTTGTCTGGAAGGAGGAGGAACAACATGAAGAAAGGCAATGTATGAGAAGGGGCTGCTCCTCACTCTGCTCAAGAGGTAAACTGGCTTTTTCATTGCTGACTCATGTTAAATGACATTTTCCCACTGGGAACTGTGGTCCATATCGGGTTGTGTGACTTACTGAACTTGCAAATGCTGCTCTGTCTATCCTGGCTTTTTACCTAATCACATCTTTTTCAAACAAATTCCTTGAAAGACTTCAACCTGGGACTATTAGTCTATTGGACTAATTAGATTATTGCTATCTAAATAGTCCAATGGTACTATTTAGATAACAAAGGTTTTAGACAGTGCCCCATAGATTTTTTTTCAACTGCACTTTGACTGGGCAATACTCTTTATTGAGCCTTAGTGCTTGTGGCATGAATTAGGAATGGACTCTTTTTAAGGATGGCTTGTTATTTAGAGCTTGTTGACAGTGGTAGTTCTGCAGTTCAGATATGTATTTGCTCAGAATTTATGTTCCTTGAACTCAAAAATGATGTCAAGTCTTTGATACTTTGTACAAGGGGGTTTAAAATGTAATAACACATTAAATTGTACAGAAAAGCTTTCACTGGAGCTTAAAATTGCAATGAAAATTTTACATTCTGCATGACATCATTTGTGATATTTCTGTCCCACTGGTTCATTAGCTCTCTTTGCCAATAAATCCAGACATCATTTCACGTATCTTCAGTTTCCAAACCAAGTGGTAACAGAATATTTTTTTCCTTAGTTTTTTTTCTGTCCCCAAACATGGTTTTTTTTTCCTCTTATTTAATGATAAAATAAAACTCTAAGCAGAAAAAAAACCCCAAACATTATGAAGAGGTCAGAAAAGATGCAAAAATCCATAAAATTCTTGAATATTAGTATTCTCATCATTTTTAGTCGTACTACTTAGTGCATTTATGTCCAAACATATCTCCCTTTATAGCAAGAAGTGATATGTTCAAATAAACAATAGAGAATTTTCTTACACTCTGGAATTTTCTTAAAAGTTCAATGTACCATATCCATAACATGCATCATATTATATCATTGAGAGAATACTCTTAAGCTAAATTGTTTCTCCCTAATTTATAATTTAATCCTAGTTTCCCACAGATCCATACATATCTTGCTAACACACCTGTCACTATGGCAGATGAATGTCTACATTTATGCTCTTAGTAATATTGATCTAACTTTTAAAACTAGGTGCTTTATTCAGGAGTGCACAACCATGATATTTTTTAAACTATTCACTAAATTAAAATATTGTGCTGCACATGTACAGAGCAAAACTGACAGGATTGATGGAGGATGAGTCAAAGCAAGACATGCCTTCGTATTCCTCTCACCCTCGAGTGCTGCTACAGGGACATCTGTGTATGTGGATTGATGTGGAATTGCAGTGGCCATTGGCGGCTGAAAATAAAACTCATCAAAATAGATGGAGGTGAGATCCTACCATGTCACCGACCCCTCTCACTACTGAAAAGGGGACAGAAAGGCACTGTGTGCTGGAACAGCCTGCAAATGTGTGGCAGAGTCAACTTGACTCCTATGAAATATTCAATCTGCTAATTTCAAGTTGGCTGATTGCATTTTGGGCAAGCTTCTTGAAACTTGCTTCCTCTCAAACTGCCCCATCTCTCTGGTAGAGCCTGGATGTGCAGGGAGATCTCTCGGACATGAGGAATGACTCAGCTATTGGCAGCAAGCTTCTGAAAAGTTGCTGCCCCTCAGCAGATGAACGGAGATCCTGAGGAAAAGCTATGTGGGCCAAAGAGATTTCAGGTGAAGATTGGGTGAACCTTTTATTTTATTTTCTTATATATCCCAGAATCCTTTATGAAGTGCACATCTTTTAGTATTTCAAACTCAGATAAATTTTTCATACTAATATTATGAAATGATCAGCATCTCCTTGTTCTCATAGCCTTGGTGAATACCTGGCATGGATGAATCCTGAGCTGAGTTTTAGCTCACTGTAAAACCCCAAAGCATAACACGTTCAGTGTAACACTAGAAGATCCCAAAGCACTCTGGCCCAAATTATTTCTGCAGCAAGCAGGTGATGATGACATTTGTTTGGTGCTCAACCAGAGCAGATTTCAACTAGTGACCTATTAGTGTAGGATCATTGCTGCCTACCAGTCCCTGCACCATGCAGTCCTCCCAGCTAGGGCTGGCAGCTGTGTAGCCTTTGCAGTGTCTGCTTTAGGCACCCGCCCTTCTGAAGAGATAGGGTTCTTGCAAAAACACATCAGTTTTAAATAAATCCCTGGAATAGCAATGAATTGAAAAAGCAGCACTCTGTTTAATTGCCAGCCTCTACTCCTCCCACCACCCTGTGAAAAGGAGCATAAAAAAAATTAAAAAGCGGTATTCGCTTATCGATGTCAGAAGAGTAATTCAGTTAATATGGTTTCCCACTCGGTGCAAAGGAACATGTGAAATGCTGAATTCGGGTCTCTGGGCCTGCTTTGTCTATTGAATCTCTTTAATCTATGTGCAGTCTGCGTTCTCCTTACTCAGCTCCACAGCCAGCACAGTGATGTTGTGCCAAGAAACGTCTTCCCGGTCAAGAGGTCTTGCAGTCATCAGTGCTCCTGATGTAATGTCGACATAAAAGAACCGCCCTGGATCACTGCTCCTGTCAATCGAGTATCTGCAAGAGTACATATTAAATATATTATGCAACCCCTGTGAAAACTGCATGTTATAGCCAACAAAGTACTCTGGCAATGGGAATACTGTCAGACACAGCAGATCCACATTATTCCACAACCTCATTATGTGCTCCATTGACTTGTATAGGTACACAGTGAGATGCTCGAAAAACTAGGAGTCCGTGTGGTTAATGGCATTTAATGGTGAGTACTACTTGGATGGAGCTGGAAGACAGGAAGATTTGGAGGAAGAAGCCTCAAAGCAAGGTACAGCTTGGCACAGGAACATCTGCTTTACAGAGAAAATCTGTCAGGAGTGCGATTTCTTTTTCTAAGTGAAATAGTTATGCCCTTTCCTTGGGCACAATTCAGGCAGGTTGAAAATTATTTTACATCAGCTCATTCTCTGGGCACCTAGGCTGATGAGGAGGAACCATTCCCTTTCTTATGATTTGGTATTCTTTACTCCTTCAGGAGAATAAACTCCACCTGCATCCTGGACCATCCTACTGACTGAGCCATGTCAATGCAAGGTGGGTGATAACTGGCTTTCTCATATCATGCAGCCAGAAAAACAGCTCCCATTGTGAGGTTGATTCATCATAATTACTCAACCTGCCTGGCCAATATCACGTCAGTTTAATGCTGGGAACAAGCTTCTCGCATCTGTGAGCAGGGGAGTGTGGTGGTACCTGCAGGCTAGAAAACCCGGGCAGGGAGGCAGCTGATCGACAGCTGTCATTGTGTTTCACAGAGTGTGTAAAATACCCAATACCCTTCGTATGCATCACCTTGCTTTGAACAGGGGTTTGTATGAGTTGCCTTCCTAGCCAGCTGTGTTAGCATGGTAAGAGATCCTCTGGCAACAGCCACACACCCACCTATGTAAATACCACAGCCTAGAACAGAGCCCAGACTTATTCTCATTTTTATTGGTTCTTTCTTCAAAGCTGATGGGAATTGAAAGCATTAGTCATACTGGATGCTGAACAGGGCTCATTCTTCTGAATATTCTCCTTTCAGCGCAAATGTATTCACTGTAACAAATATGCCAGTCTGATCTTTGTATAGGCAGTTATTAAACCAGGATAGAAAATACTGTTGAGCTATGTTGTTGGGAAGTTCTTTTACACTTTTTTTTTTCCCCTAGAAGAATCAAAAAGGGTGGAATGGCAGGTTTGCTTTCTTTTCCTTCCCATTCCTTCCCATCTCTTTGTAAATAAAGAGATTTCTGAAGGATTTTATTTATTTAGGAAATAAGTATGAGTGTTGCTATACTTTGTTATAATAATTATTATTGTATGAGGGCTATAAAAGGAATTTCTTTCTGACAGTTTAAGGCCAATGAATAGCTGAAATTAAATATGGCCTTGTGATTAGTGGTGTGGTATTAATCACCGGTGTCAAGAGGCACAGGTGGAGTCTTTGCATTCTCCACCTAAGTTCTCCTGTTAATAATACCACCCTTTCACACTTGTTTCTGCTGTGCTCTTCAGGTAATCTTTCTGAATCACTTAACAACAATCATGGTGTATTTCCAGCAATCAGAACTTCACAGTATGGGAGTCCAGATACTGGACACTGGAAAAATGAGGATTTGAGAGTTAGTTCTCCCATGTTTAGTGAACCCTTCTGAAATGTGTCCTGGCTTTTCCATACTTCAAAACAGCAAAAGGAAGGGTCAGATCATAATTTTTATTTCAGATAGATTTAATGGTGTAACAAAATATGTATCCGTGACTTTGGTTTTCTTATCTTGCCTTGACCTGTGTAAACTGAATGCAGAGCAAGTCTAAAACATCACCAGACTGATACTGCACAGGGTGGGCATGGATGGAGGAGACCACCTAAGAGGCAAGAACCAATTCCCAACATTTGCATTTTAGATAGCATTACAAGTGGTATTTTTTTTTCCCTGTTTCCTCCACCCTAATCATTTAAGTTTGTTCATACAAGGTGTGGGGGAGGAAGGAAGGAAGAAAGGAAAGAAAGTGGGAAGGGAGGAAGGTGGGAAGAAAAGGAGGAAGGAAGTTGGGAAGGAGCAGAGTTACAAAGGAGTCTGTGCATGTTTGCATCTGTTTTGTTTTATTTTTTAATACATCTTTGGTGATGCATTCCATGCTTTATAGATTGCTGTTTCATCAGGGTAGTCACTAGAAAACTCTGAAGAAAACTAAGAAAAACCTCATTAAAAATAACAATGAACACTTCTGCCCTCTGATAGTCCACAGAATTTTTCTTATACTATTTTAAGCAGATTAGCACTGCAGTGTTTGGATAATGCTAGACAGTAATCAGCAAAATAGGATGTGGGTGAAAAAAAGTTTAGGGTAAGGAAATTGTGATGTAGACAGTATAATACCTAGTTTTATTGAAGAATTTGAGGCAATGTAATGAGAAGTATGATAGCCTTATAATGCAGGTAGAAAAGGTAGGTGTATATATATAAGGTAGCAGAGATGAAAAAAATAATTAGAGCAGCAACACAGAAAGCAATATCATTAAGAAGAACATCCTCTGTGTCTGCTCTGATCTTCTCGCTGAAGCCCACAGAATTGCTTGTATAGATTTCACTTTCTTCAAAAACTCCAAATATTCAGTGTTTCAACTCCTTCCTGTTTCCCAGGCCTGTTCCTGATTGCAGACAATTCAGAAGCTGGACTGACACAAGGTTAGTAGCTCAACACCCAAAGCGTTTCTCAGATGAGAGAAGCTGCTGACCTGCAGGGATCATTAACTTGCAGTCACCCTGAGCTTCTGCAGGTTGAGAAAATTAGTATGTGGGCTGGCCCCAGAGAAAAACAGTCTTCTCTGATAAACTGGGCTGGCTTGGCAGCCACTGTGGAAAAGAGCACTGTGATCACACAAATCTGTTCCTTTGGCTCCTTGCTGAGTTGCAGCTATGAAGCTCCCATGGCTGTAAATACACCTTTACCTTTCTTAACTCCTTATGGGAATATCTATCTCTGCAGCTTTGACTAGATGTTGTATAATTTAGTGGTTCATGAATATTTATTGGTATGCGTTCTATCCACCCCAAAATTAGCTCTGTATTTGAGCTGTTGACAAAGGCAGGCTTTGAAACAGAAGGGGGAGAGAGGAGAATCGAGTTGATGACCTTCCCCTCAGTACAGCAGCAGATTTGCAGTGATGCTGTCAGGTTTTCTGCCAGTAAAGGCACCAGAGTCTGGGGTTTGTTGTCAGTGTGTGCTATCAGGACATGCCTGACCAGTTCATTGCAATGCTGGATGCAGATGTTCTCCATATCACAGAAAAGGCGAGGCTGAGCTCATGCGTTGCTTTGGCAGTCGTAGTAGGGCCCCTCAGTGTGTGAGATCAGGTTTGACTAAACCCACTGATGACTATCATGGGCTACAAAGGAAGAGAGTCCCTCCCACCTGTGCTGTTTCAGCCCCATCACTGCCCCACCAGCTGGATGCACCAGGGAGTGCTCCTGGGGAGACACTCAAAGAGAGGACAGACCTGATGGAGTTGTTGGTCACGTCCGGGTCCTTGGCAGAAATGATCTGTATGGTGGTTCCAATCTCCACGTCCTCGGGCACTTCCACAAAGTAGAAGCTGGGCTCAAACACAGGAGGTTCGTCCACATCCTCCACACTGATGTGGACAGTGGTGGTGTCGCGGAAAGGACCCAGGTTCAGGAATCGCATTTCCAGGTGGGGGTTGGCACCCTCTACTTTCAAGGTGTAACTTTTCTTGCTCTCAAAACTTAAAGGCTGAAGAGAAACAATATATCTAGCATTAGGCATACTGAGCCATATGATTTAGGCCACATAATTTTAATTTTATAAGTAAAATATGTCTTCTAATATAAAATTATACTTCTTTTAAAGAAAAAGTTACTATGGTTTTTAATCATAAGGGTAACAAAGATGAATATTTGCAGATGGAGATAAAGCACTGAGTAACAGTAGTATTAGAAATGGCACTGTCTGCATCTTTTTTGTTTTTTTTTATTTGACAGTTGAACTGAAAAAGCCAGGAGAAATATTTTCAGATTATTTCAGAATACATATTCTTTCATCCTTGCTGAAATGAAAATAAAAGTGGCCACACCACCATTGCATTACGATTCACACAGCGTGTTTCATTCCACTTTGGGGAAAATACGGGCACAAACAGACAGCATGGGAGCACTGGAAAATATGGTAAGGATAGGAAGAGTTAGTTCCTCAAAAATGGGTCCTGGTGGCAGGGACAAGGATGCTCACACATGAGGTGGATGTCCCAGTTAGCACCCTCTGTTCTCCCTCAGGAGATTGGAGTCTCACCTCTAGAGCACCCTGTCTGCCAGGCTGCTGAGGGGCACCAGTGGGAGCAGGGCACATGGTCAGCCTCTCTTGTGGGATTCGGCTCCAGTTTGTGTCAGTAATGTGACCTTTCTAGAAGTAAGGGTGAAAATCACCTCCTCAGTAAGTGTCCTAAACACAGGTTCACAGTCCAGGTGTGCTGAGTGCTGGGATTTGAACCTCTTCCCTGCCTAGAGAATAGTTTAATTTCAAAACACTACGAGTTACCCCTGACCTCTGCCTGCAGGAGCCTTTCCACTTTGTGTAAAATACTCAAGTATTATTTGAAACAAGAAGTGAGAATGGCTCTTTTTTTTTTTTTTTTTTTTTTTTTTCTTTCCTGGGATAATAGATAAAGGGTGGGCAGCTTCATTTGTTAGTAGTTTCATGAATTCAATTTCCTTTCTAGATAAAACTACTTATTTGGTGAACATGGATATAGAAATAATTGATGCTGGCACTGAATTTTTCAATAAATTATTTTTTCATCTCCCTTCCTTCTTCTTTTCACAGGTACCTGAAGAAAATACAGCCTGTCCAAAACCTGCTTAGTCCTAAATGGAGAGTTCTGTATTTAATGTGCAATTTACCAGTTTCAGTAAGGGACAACTAAAAGCATCTGACAACCAGAAAGACAGCATGGAAAGATCATTCCAAAGCGCACAAAAGATTTTCACCAGATGAAGTACACCTTACAGAGCACACAGTCATACTTCTCAAGTTGCAGTTAGAAGTTACAAGGCACCCCACTGTGGCTAAATGGTCACAACCCTTTACTTGTCTCATCTGGGGAGTTGTAATGCCAAAAACCAGCACAACTGAATCCCCTTAGCTGGCACAGATCCTGAGCAAGACAAACTTTGTACCAGGAAAGAAATGGCCCAATTCTCAGAGTCCCCCAGTGGGACTTCTGTTACCTGAATAGCTTGCAAAACGTGTGGCTTTATTTGTACACTGGGATTTGAGCATTGTGTGTGGAACTACCATGCATGGGTTCAGCTCATTCAAACTCGAGTAAGGTTACTGCTGTTTCCATCCAATGCCTTTGTTTTTCCTATCCAGCTTTTCTTTTGAAGACCTACCACTAAACTAGGGCAAAGAGATGGGCAGGAAAACAGAGAACACCAAAGCAACTGGTATTCAAAGGTGCGAAAATCATTACTGTGGCAGCGAAGTCCTCCTTGGCCAGTCATAGCCCACCTCTTTTCTGCCCTGCTCAATAGCGCAGCTGGGCAGTTCTGCAGCCATGAGATGTATATGAGTTTCAGCAACATCAGCAGAAGTTTCACATGCTCAGGCAGGGCTATACACCATGGGCCTTAAAACAGCCCCTGAATTCAGAGAAGGCTTCAGTACTTTAGTGCCACAACAGCTTCTTTCTCCAGAAGAGGAAACTGCAGTGACATACGAAAGCTCATGCTTTCACATTAAAATTACCAGTATGAAGGCTCTGCATATGAATGCCTGATGAAAGACTGAAGTTCTCGAAATTATTAAAACTAGAACTCACTCAACATCTAGAACATGGGGGTGGGGAATGAAGACTGGAATGGGAACTGGTTTTCTCTTGCTGGAGGAGGTAAGTCTGCTATTACTGGAGATGCCGTGCAGTGATACAGCATGAACTGTGCAACCTCTGTCAGCAGATACCAACAGATGATCTGAAACTTACTCCTGCTGCCCTTAGTTCCACCTGGTAAATCAGTGATTACTGCAGGCATAGCACTTGTCAGCAAGGATTTAGCTAGATCTGCAAATATATTAGCCATTACTACAGAGTCATTATGGTCCACCAGTTGCATATTTATGCATTGTAAAAATAGCGATAAAATATATTCACATGACCAAGCAACATTTATTGTCCATCTGGCAAGGAATCTGCAATGCAAAGCTGCCTAAACATACACTAAGAAAGAGGTCATTATATTTCATGGTTTCTCATGTGAAGAAAATTGCGTGAGAAACATTGCATGTATGCTAAAAAGGTAAGTTATAAAAAGAGCAGTTAAATCACAGAAATATTTAATAGCTATACAACTCAACTACATTAGGAAAAGACATAATCACCTAGAATTATCAAGTTAGAAAAATGAGAAAAATCAAAGGAGTGTGCTAAGCCAGCACATTTTTGATACTCCTGGATTCAGACCCCCCTCATTTTGCCTTGGAATCCTTCGTTGTCAACCCTGGTTTTCCTCCTGATCCTCTCACATGCCAATGCCTTCATATCGCTGCCCCCTCTCATCAGATTTGTCTTCCACAGGTACATTCAAGCCTCTTTCCAACATTGGTCCCATGAGGAGGGCAAGCAGGTTGCATTCTCCTGCAAACTGAGCATGCTGCAAAACACAGCTGAGAGGAGAGGCACTCCATGGAAACCTCTCCTTGTACTCATTCTTCTTCCCCTGATGCTGAGACAGGTACCCAGCGGAGCACCATGCAGGTGGGATTTAGCAGGAGCAGCTGTGAGAAAGCGATTGACCGGCAGTGGCTGGGCAGGAGGGCAGCGCGAGGCTTCCCAGGCATGGGACTCCGTGCTGGCTGGGTGACCCACCACCCTACTTCCCACGGCAGCAGGAAAGCGAAGGCAGAGAGAAGGGAAAATGCGGTCATGGGGGTGAGTATTAGCCTCACACCACAGGCAGGGAGCTTTGAAGGAGCTCTCACTCTTCAGGGGGCGCTCAGCATTTTGTGGGATTAGTTGGCCGAGATAAGTGGCCATGAGACCGCAAACAGTGGTCTTATCTGAAACTGTAAATTCCCACTTTTTGATGTCCTTGATAGAAGCAGGATTAGCGCTAGTTATTTTGTTTTGGAAATCTGTCTAGAAAAATGAAAAGGAAAGCTCTGCTTTCTTTCAAAGAAGATTTCATTGTGGGTTTAGAAATTCTCTCTCCTTCCCCCCATTTTGATATCCTTTTCTGTCAACGTCAGCTGATTTTTTTTGAGTGGATTCAAAGGACAGCTTCCCTAATGTTTGGCTACTGATAATCATAACATTACAAAAAGCTACAGGCATATATAGGATTTTACAAACAATTATTTACAGTAGATGGATTGAGCAGTATGTACCTGATGCCAGTACATATCTGGTATGATTGATGCCATGAATTTTTATAACTCTTCCTCCTGACATATATCAACATCTAGTAAAACTGTATTCATAATAACAAAAGTTAAGCTTATTGACACATTTACTCCAAATAAATTATTTTCTTTCATCAATAAATTAGTGAAAAATTACATTAGAGGCTGCATTCTACATCTATTTCATTCCAGCAAACATGCTTAACTTTAGGGACTAGTGTGCATAAACAAGACTTGGAGAAAGGTGACCATAAATACATGCTTTAAAGTGTTGCTGTAGGGCAGAGAGTCTTGCAGGGTCAAATCTCTCCCATGTGTTGTTCCATTTTAGTCCACAATTTAGTCCCAGTCTATTTAAATGGAGACTATACTTCCTTATTAGTACACTAGATACACTTAGGCAGAAATACGGTTACAATTTCATAACCTCGAAACAGAGCTGAACTTGTAGCATTTATGTAAGATTGTAGAATAAATATCCTATAGCAGGGAGCCTAAGCAAAATACTCCATTCCTTCCTGCATAGCCTGCGGTACAGAGTACTAGCAGTTTCACAGCTGCCATTTTAGAGACAGCTTCTTCTAGCCTAATTAGCATTTATGGATCTTCAAGCAGCAATTAAAAAAAAAAACTGCCTGGGTTTTATTGGTTTATAAATAATTCTAAGGCATGCTTTATTATTGTTTGTGGGACACTGGAGTGAAAAATGTGTACAGTTCAAATGCAAATATTGATCTAATTTCTTGCATTGTAGAATAATTAAGCTACAGAGAATATTTAAATAGATAAATAGTGAATCAGAACATTCCTTTGGTGGGAGAAGACATATTTATGCTAATGCTGTCCCTACTTTTTAAATATTGCTCCTATGAATGCAGTCTGCTTTCATACTTTAGCAATGAGTGTTAAAGAAATTATGTTTTATAGCAGGACAGGGGCTACTGTCATGTAACAGGAACCAAGTTACTACAGGCATAAGGGAATATTGCACACATAAAATGCAACCAGGACTGTTAGCCGTATAAATTACTATAAAAAGGAAACTTTGCTACCTTTCTCACAGTTATGATGCCAACTTGGTAATTAGGATCAGTGTTAATGTCGAAGACATCTAGTCCATCTCCATCCACGAGGCTGTATTTCATCTCCGCATTAATGCCTTCATCCAGGTCTTTAGCAACCACACGGCCCACGGTGGAGCTGACGGGAGTGGACTCCAGCACACTCATCTGATAATGCTCTGGCACAAGCAGCAGAGAGGGAGAGGGGAACAAAAAACAGGCTGTGAAAAGGAACCAAAACCAGCACAGTGATGCACAGAGTAGATCAGGGCAGACCCTGTGGGGAATCCCTAGTACCTTTCCCAAAGCTGCCACAATGGTGTGATTTCCTTTAAAAAGCCACAGCTAGACTGAATTGCCTGGGAAAGTTTTATTTAGGCATTTGTCATATCAACAGGTTTGTTCAACGGGTTCTTCTCAAAACAGCAATATACCTGAAAACAGGAACTTCAACTAGAAAAGTAGGGCAATTAACACCAGTGCTGTTGCAGCCGCGATATAAGGGAGGGTATGAAACGGATTTAATAGGACAGGCATCTTTTATTAGATCAGTTGGTGCAGTGTGAATAAACACACAAGTTGTGAGCACCACAAATCCTTTCTCAAGTCTGTATAAACTTCTTTTCCACCCTGAACAAGGCTTTGATTGCTCAGAAACTTGCCTGTTTCTTCCAAATTTACCAGTTACTCTACTAAAATATACTACCTCTCCCTAAAAACTCTGTCTTGAGCACATTTGGTGCATCACTAATTTGCTTAGCAGCAAGCCTAGAGAAAGAGAAAGCTGCTATTTTAAGTGTTTTAAAAATAGGAATGTTGTATCTAAAATACTTCTCTAACATCGTACTTTATGTTCAAACCCTCCTTGCTGTGCTCTCTCTGTTAACTCCACCAATTATTGAGCTTTACAAGGCATAATTACACCAAGGGTGGGATTTGATCTAGTCTCATTTCTTAATTGAGAGTTTGATATCAAACAGTCACAATTCATGACACCTTCAAAACAGGATTGGCAATGGTGCATTCAACAAGTTGCTCTGCCAGAAGAAGAAAAGTGGAAGTTGATGTTTCTTACTGATCTTAGTGGAGTGCTTTGATTTAGCAGTGCAACATGCAGAAACAGATGGGGAAGAAGAATAGCAAAAAAAGGAACTGCAGGAGTTTTCATTTCTTGGCTAGATGAGAGAAACGACAAAACTAAAATGGCTTGAGACTGTTCTACACCACCAAAAGAATTAGCTTTCTTTTTTAAAAAAGGACAGCAAAAGTAGATCCCTTGAAAGATCTAGTTCAATCAAACCTGAAAACTCTTTCAAATTTTTAACATTCATATAGAATTGTATAGGTAACATTGCTCTAAAAGAATTTTAAATAGAAAGAACAAAATATTGCAAATCTTGCTTTGAGATTCACTTCTGTAAATACAAAGTAATGTTTCTGATAAGAGTTGCCTATTTTTGCATTCTGTTAACTGTGGCTGTTACATATCTTAGGGTTTAACTAAATATTGCCAAGGTTTAGATGAACCTTTATGGGAGAGCAGCTTGCATGATAACGCACTCTACACTGGCAGCACAGCTACCAGACTCTCCCCTGCAGCGGCCTGGATGGAGTGTCGAATGAATCATCTTTCAACTTCCAGCACCACCACATGTCCCTGATTTGACAGACATCCCTTTGGAAACAGGATGAAAAGAGAATCAGGGCAGCAATTAGCAGCCAAAGGCAACGGCCATGAGCAGTCTAGGGACACAAAAGATCACCTTCTTCCCTTTTTCTGTAAATTAATTTCCCACCATTTAAAAAAAGTATTGGTTGTAATGATTTTGGAGGTCAGAAACCTCTTCTGAAAGACAAGCTGGTGAATGCTCCATTTTGACATTTTCTGAAGAAACGTTCCTTCATTGATCCAAAGTTCTTCCCATCTCTAATTGTCACTGTCCTGAGTTTGAAAATGACTGCAATGAGAGCAAACGCCAGCTGTGCAACTCAGTCACCCCTTTTTGCCTGTTCTGACACATTGGGTACTCACTCTGTGGAAATCGGGGCGGATTGTCATTGACATCAGAGAGGGTGATGTTGACTGTGGTTGTTCCAGCTAATCCTCCCAGCTGTCCACCCATATCCTTGGCCTGGATAATCACTTCATAATATTCTTTTGCTTCTCTGTCCATGTTCATTAGAGCTGTCCTAATTAAGCCTGTGAGATTGAGAAGGGAAAGGGGGTTTGAAAAAAAAGAAATGGCAGTTAAAGAATACAAAAACAAGGTGGAGTGGTCTTACTTCTGCATCATGTTCCCTGTGTCGAGAATGAGACCAGACTCTGTATTCAGTCTCGCCTTTCCTAGTAGAGTAAAACTCACCCTAATTAAATCTAGGTTAACAGAAGGTGTGAATTTTAAAGAAGCCCAGTTAAAATGCAGCAGCTCTGGGGCAGGCAGTCTGTTCAAAATTAAAATGTTGCCTTCCCAGGGAGCTGGAGCACCTCTCCTATGAGGACAGGCTGAGAGAGTTGGGCTTGTTCAGCCTGGAGAAGGCTCCAGGGGGACCTTATGGCTGCCTTCCAGTACCTGAAAGGTGCCCATAAGAAAGCTGGGGAAGCACTGTTCACAAGGGCATGTAGCAATAGGACAAGGGGTAATGGTTTTAAACTAGAAAAGGGTGGGTTTAGGTGGGATATTAGGAAAAAGTTCATCAGTATGAGGGTGGTAGATCATTGGAACAGGTTGCCCAGAGAGGTGGTGGGGGCCTCATCCCTGGAGATATTCGAGGTCAGGCTGGACAGGGCCCTGAGCAACCTGTTCTAGTGAAGATGTCCCTGCTCACTGCAGGGGGGGTTGGACTGGATGACCTTTGAAGGTACCTTCCAACCCAAACCATTCTCTGATTCTATGCTGCATTAAGGCTGTGAATATGTCTGCACAAAAGGTGGGAGCGATGTGATGAGTTTATAACAAGGCGAGTTTTGCAGAGTGTCTGTACACACGCAGTCCTGGAGGCGACCTGAGACAAGCCCGTGGGCTTTGCTCGGGTCCGGCGGGACCCACGCTGGGGGCTGCGAGAGCAGAGTGTGGGGAGATGCCGGCGGTCCGGACCTGCTCTCCTCGCCCTGCAGAGCGGCCGTTCCCTGCGGGCAGCGCTACTGCGAGCGGACATGAGGTGGCAGCAGCACCTCTCTCAGGTGTTGCCGTTGCCGGCCGGGAAGCGGCTCCGGCCCCACCCGCAGCCCAGGGGATGTCCTGCCAGGGGACACTTTCTGGGGGACTGACACATTTGGGGTGCCCTCCTGTCGGGGGTAAGTATGTGTCAGCCTAGTCGCATGGCTCAACGTGCAGTACTGGCACACCAGGACATCCTTAACTTGAGCGATCTGCGCTTAGTCTTTATTTTTAGCAGAAAGACAATGTATGGGTTTAATAAAAAAGCAGTAAAAAGATACTACATTGGCAATTATCACTGTGTGTAGAAGGGAAGAATTAGTGACCAGTATTGAGCAATTCACAGTGTGCTATTTTAATCTTGCTACATGGAGTCCTTAAGAATCTCATCCTGTAAAGCTGAGTGACTCCTGTGGGATGCTGTAGCTCCCCAGCTCTCATGGATAGAAATAAGATATGGAAATGCTTGGCATTTTGGGAAGTATTTTCTCCAAGTAACAAGTGACAGGACAAGAGGAAATGGCCTCAATTTGCACCAAGGGCAGTTTAGATTAGATGTGAGGAAGAATTTCTTTCCTGAAAGGGTTCTCGGGCATTGGAAGGGGTTGCCCAGGGCAGTGGTGGAGTCCCCATCCCTGGAGGGATTGAAGAGTCTTATAGACATCTTTATCAGTGACATGGACAGTGGGA